ATGAGAAGGTGCTAAATCCTTTGGATAAAAATAAAATACGGTATGGAGAGGAAGTGTTAGAATGTTAAGCACAGTGGTCAAGCCTTGTTAAGAAGATGATATTTGGGCAAAGACTTGGAAGAGGTGAAGCAATGATATGTGCAGCTATCTGGGAAAAGAGCATTCCATGCAAAGGGATTATAACAGCCAGTGCAAATGTCCTGAGGTAAGCACGTGCCTGACACATTGAAGCCAGAGTAGCTGGAGACAGTGATAGGTCAGAGAAGTAAAGGGAGACTTCCAGCCTATGTAGGCCGTTGTAAGGATTTGGCTTTTACTTTAGGTGAAGTGGGAGCCTGAGGAAGAGTCTTAGTGAAAATTGATGTCATTGACTGTTGAGTTGAGACTAACCTGTAAAAAGGGCTAAAGAGTGAAACAGAGAGACCAGTTAGGAGGCTATTTCTTGCAAATATCTCAGGCAAGAGGCGATGCTGGTGGCTTGACCAGGGTGGTGGCAGCAGAGAGGACAAGTGATCGGAGTCTAGAAAAATGTTAAAGGTAGAGAATGAAGAGTTTTCGGATGTATTTAACACAGGGCATAATGGAAAAAGGAGTTAGGGATGACTTCAAAGTTTTGGGAGGTTTTCTTTTCTTTTCTTTTTTGCATGAGCAACTGACAAAATAGTATGGTTCATTAACTGGAATGGAGAAGTGTAACAGTGGCATAGTGCTAGTGCGGGAACAGAGGAAATCAGGGGTTGGGTTTTGCATCTGTAAAGCTTGTGATATCTAGGAAACATCTACCTGGAGAGGGGTCTGGACTGGAGACCTGACTTTGGGAGTCAGAATGAAGACAGTATTTGAAGCCAGGAAACCGGATGAGATCTACAAGAGAGCGGCTAGAAGGAAGAGACTAGGTTCAAGGACATAGCTGGAGGCGCTCACACATTCAGAGGCCATAAGGAAGGCAGGGAACCACTGAAGGAGACTGAGAAGGAAAAACCAGGCCGGTAGGGGCAAACCAGGTGAGTATGTTTTCCTGGAAGTAGAATAAAAGGTATTTCAAGGAAAAGGGAGTTAACTTGGTCAAACGCTGCCTAAAGGTCAAGGAAAATGTGAACCAAGAAAAGACATCCGATTTGGCAATGTGGAGGTCATCGGCGACTTGGGCAATCCCAGTTCCAGTGGAACAGTGGGATGAGAAAGCCTAACTGGAGGAGATTTGAGAACAGGAGAAGGATTGTTAGAGCAATTGAACACAGACGCCTCTTTTTGTTGTAAGAAGGTTACACTTCATTTTAAAAGCCAGTAATTCAGACTTTTTATTCATCTCAATGAGCATTGTGTCCACAGCAACCTGAATCAGTCAAATTTTACTTGAGAAATCCCCCTTTCAAATGACAGAAACTTTTTTTGTGAAATACGTTTTAGTGATTTTGAGTCTGACACTCTCTTTGTTAACTGAAGAAAAACAATCACTGCCTTCAGTGAATTTGCAGCTCAAGGTATTTTAAGTTTTATAATCTAATTTCTGACTTGGAATGTTTCTCTCACACACACACATCCAAAATGATGACATCATAGTTCTGTTGATGAATATTTCAACTCATTTTAAATTACATTAGCTCATTCCAAATATCTCATTATTTATTTGTTTGTTCTTTTTTTATTTAATCTTTATTGTATTTTTTCCATTACCATTTAGTCACCATATCCCTCCCTTCCCCCCAGCAACCACCACACTGTTGTCCATGTCCATGAGCCCTTTTTCCTTTATATTTGATCCCTCCCCTCCCTAAGCCCACCCTAGCTGTTATCCTGCTCTCCATTTATGAGTCTGTCCCCATTTTCTTTGTTAGTTCAGTTTGTCCATTAGATTCCGTATATGAACGAAATGATAGGGTATTTGTCTTTCTCTGACTGGCTTAATTCACTTAGCGTAATATTCTCCAGGTCCACCCATACTGTCACAAAGGGTACAATTTTCTTCTTTTTTACAGCAGAGTAGCATTCTACTGTGTAACTGTCCCTTAGTTGTTTTATCTACTCATCTATTGGTGGACACTGGGGCTGCTTCCATATCTTAGTGATCGTAAATAACACTGCAATGAACATAGGGGTGCTTATGTTTTTTCAAATTAGTGTTTTGGGTTCCTTCAGATAAAGTGGGACTGCTGGGTCAAAAAGCAGATCCATTTTTAATTTTTTGAGGTGTCTCCATACTGCTTTCCACGGTGGCTGCACCATCTGCACTCCCACCTACAGTGCAAAAGGGCACGCCTTTCTCCACAGCCCCGCCAGCACTTGTTGTTTGTTGATTTATTGATGAGAGCCATTTTGACAGGTGTATTTCATGTGCTTTTAATTCGCATTTCTTTGATGATTAGTGACATTGAGCATCTTTTCATATGTCTATTGGCCATCTCTGTGTCCTCTCTGGAAAAGTGTCTATTCAGGTCTTTTGCACATTTAATTGGGTTGTCTGTTGTTCTGGTGTTGAGTTTTCTAAGTTCTCTATACATTTTGGATATTAACCCCTTATCAGACGTATTGCTGTTTTTTGTTTCTTTTAAATTTTTAAATAATGTTTCTCATTCTATGGACATTTATTTGACTGCCTTTCTTACTTGTAGACATTGGTTCACATTGTCAACAGTTGGGCACTGAATCTCAGAAAACTTACGCTTGAGATTAAAGGTAAGGCAGGGAAAGCTGTCAGTAAAACATGCTAACATAATGTATCAGCACAGCACAGGGTCAAGTTCATACTCAGAACCACGAGGGTGCTGTGAAGCACAATGAGTTCATACTCGTGTTGTGATGTCATTTTGTTGTAACAGTAAAGCCAAGAGTCCTCCCCACCCAAGGGCAATGGCCGATTTCCCAGAAGGCTCATTTCCCAAAGCCAAAGCCCCAAAGATGCCAATGCAACCCATGCTGATACTTCGTCTCATGTTATTTCTCAATTTTATGCTTAATTTACTCCTTTTGGTTTTATGTATTTTGACACAGCCAAGTGTACGTGGGGATTTCCCCATAGTCCTTTAAATGCTATAAAACTTTAATATAGGGAGATAAAAACAATAATAAGCCGTGCCTCCAAGCCCTCACATCTAGTTCTTCATTTGAGTTAAGCACAAACCACTTTTTGATAGATTTAGATTTTCAAGTTCTTGCACCGGTTTAAATGCCTCTGTGCCTTTCCTTGCCCTCCTCCCCCACGCAAATGAAAATTATATTCGGCCCATAACCTGGGCATGCAACACCTATTGATTGCACAAAATGGCATCTTTACAATCCTTAAATTATCATGATAATGGCCTATATCGTGCCTGAGCCAATGCAATTTAGTATGATTCTGAATAAAGACAAAATGAATGCCCGTTCCCAATTCTCGGTGTGCAACCCTGAAATGTCTTTTGGCAAAAATGAAATACTGCTCCTGGAAGTCTGTTGAGTTTGTCTGTTTTCAGCGTAATTGCCTTCTCTCAGCTTCCTAATACCCTTAAAACCTCTGAGAGTCTTTAATGTACAAAGTTCAACAAAAATATCTTCAAAGTAGATTAGTTCTAATTATAGTTAATATTTGCTGCTTTATTGAATAAACTACATTTACTTTAAAAAAAAAAAGAAAGAAATTCACTTAACTGCATGTCAGTCACCCAAATTTTGAGTGTACAAATGAAATGGAAAACATTTATTACACAAATTTAATTACAATTCTAAGAAATAAACATGCAAATTAGATAGAGTTCAATTTGCAGATGCTAATCCTCATCCTCTATCTTGCTCCTTTCCTCTCTGGTTTTCAGTCTGTGCCTCCCCTTAATTCCTAGGGAGTCAGGGAGCCAGAGGTTTGCTTTTTCACAGTCGGAGGATCACTGTTTTAAAGAAGTGTTATATTTAGCACATCTGGCATAGTAGCAGTAAACAAACATTATAGTCTTTGTAACACTTTTGTGCAGGTGCCTTCCCCCTGATTTTATTAGGTCTATGCCTTCCAAGCCTCTGCGTTCATTACACCTGAAATGACCCATCTCGACTTCGGAGGGGTCCCTAGACAGGAGTTATGAATTAATGTTTCAAAACAACAAACTCCAATTGAGCCCAATATAGGGGAAAATTACTATTTGCAAAATAATGTGATTCCGGGGTGGTTTAAATTACATTCTCTTGACCAAGGACAACCTCCTTTATTACTTTTTTATTTCCTGGAGGTTTTCCCTGGAGGCTCCCCAGCCAGAAAGTGTTGCCAATTGAAGTTGCAGCAAGACCAAGGTTGCTTTTTTATACACAAGCAGCTCCGGAGGGGACCGGGCGGGGGCGGGCGGCGAGGGGGGAATAACTGCTCGGTCCTGCAAAGACATCTGTTTCTCATCTCCGTTTGCTGTGGCAAAGGAGAAGAAAGTCTTTTGCAAAGGGTGGGAACGCGCAGATTTTTTTTTTTTTTTTTTTTTTTTTTTTTTAGTCACACGCACACACAACAACAAAACTAAAGCAAATTTAAAAAAAGAGAGAGAGAAGGCATCTCAGAAGGTTGCCGAGTGAATACATTATTCGGCTGGAGCCGAGCCCCCGGGGCTAGGGCGGGAGCCGGGAGCGCGTGGGGTCTGGGCTGCGGGCTGGAGCCGGGCCCGCGTGTCCCCGGGCACCGGGAGGGGGGAAGAGGGGGGAAGGAGGGCGGGAAGGAGGCAGGGGGCGGGCTGGGGTGGGGGTGAGGGAAGGCGCCCCGTGTGCTGCCTGAGGAGCGGCGGCGGCGGCGGGAGCAGAGGGAGGGAGGGAGCGCGGGCGCGCTTGTCATGTTCCCTCTCTCACCCTGGGGGCATCCTGCACAACCTCTCCTCGGAAATCCACGGGGAAATGGCAAACAGGATTGACGGGTTTCACACGCTCCTCGCTAGACAGAGCCGCTCATTACCATAACCGTCTGCAGCGACGGCGGCGCGGCGCCCCGGTCGCGGCGGCGGGACCTGCCCGGACCCTCGCCCGCGGCGCACCAGCGGCCACCGCCGACCGGGCCGCCGGGCGGGACCCACGCGACTGTGCACCGGCGGCCGGGCTGGCGCCGAGCCCGAGCGGACAGGGAGCAGCTGGAGCGCTGCGGCCGCCGCCTCCCGCTGACCCCGCGGTAAGAGCCGGGCTGGCCGTGGGCGGCGGGGGCGGAAGGGCCAAGGCCGATCCCCCGGCCTCTGCTTGAGGACCGGCGCCCATGCGGCCTCCCGCACGCCTCCGGGCACCCGGGCTGCGCCGGGGTCACCGAGTGGTGTCGCGCAGGCCGGGGCGGGGACGGCGTGCGGCCAGGGCGCTGCTGGGCGCGGAGGTGGCGCGGGACTGGAGTGCGCCGAGGCGCCTTTCCCCGGGCGGGAGCCGCCGCCTCCCGCGCTGCCCCGGCGACCGCCCGCGCGCGCCGAGCCCAGTCCAGGGGCAGGTGGAGACGGCAGCTCGGGCGAGACCTCAGGGTCCTGGGTGGCCGCCCATCCCCTTCTCCCCGGGGACGAAAGCCAGTGGGGGGGATGCCTCTGGGTCTGGACGCCGCGGCGCCTGGCAGGTGGGGAGGGAGGGGATGGCGGATGTCAGGAGCGCGCGTTCACTAGAAAAGGAATAGCTGCAGGAGCTGACACCTTCTGTCCCCGCCACCTCCGCCCGCGCACTCTCCTCCCAGGCAGCCGAGCCGCGCTGCGGGCGGCGGCGGCTCCTCTGTCCTCAGCTCACCTCCCCGGCGGGCTCGGCTGCTGCCCGCCGGGTCCACGCCTCCGCCCCTCGCTCCCTGCCTCCCTGCCTCCCCTCCCGCCTCCTCGGCCCTCGCAACTTTCCCGAGTGTCCGGCTGGGGCGGCGGAGGTGGGGTGTGGCGCGGGCTGGGCGCTAGCCGGCGGGAGGTGCGGCTGTGCCCCCGCAGCCCCGGTGCTGCGGCCGCGCGGGGCGCTCCCGCAGTCTCCGCGCCGAGTAGGCTGGGCAGGGCGAGCGGGAGGGCCGGGCAGGATCGGCTGCGGGCTGGAGCGCAGACCGGGGCCAGCCTCGCCAGAGCCCAGCCAACCGCCCTGAGTCATTTCCTTGGAATCCTACCTTTAGTGTTTATTTCCCTTAGAAGGAAACTTGGTTTAAAAAAAAAAAAAAGAAGAAGAAGAAAAGAAAGAATAATAATAGCTCTTATTCTTCAGGAGAGGCGCAGGACTCGGGCACCGTGGAAAGACAACTTGCCTTTGTTCCCAGACACTTGGGGTGTTGTTTACTTTCTCCTGCTGCCGGTGGCAGGCAGGGCTCTGCTCAGTACCCCAGAGAGGGGCTCCGAGGCTTAGGCCCCGACCCCCAGGGGCGTGGCTGTTCGGGAGCCCGGACCCCTTGGCTGCTGCCAGCCTGCAGGGGGTCGGTTCCCCAAACCTTGGACCCCAGGCTTGGGCCTGAGATACGGAGACCTGGCGCCCAGGCTTGGACACCCAGGCACCTTCGCCATGCCCCCGCCAGCCCAAACCCCCCAAGGCCCAGGACCCGCATTCCCAGCGCCGGAGCCCAGGCCTAAATAAAGCTCTCGGCTCTCGGCTGGGCCCCCGGAGGCGCTACCGCTGAGAAATGTGCTTCTTCCCAGGGCAGACAGGTGTACCGCCAGGGCTGGCAGGAAAGTGGTATCTGTCTATTTCGAAGGGGTTGAAGGATTTTATTCTGCTCATCCAGCCTCTCCTCGAGAGTTCGACCACCGCTACCCAGAGCTGGTCGAGCTGTTGAGATCTTACTAGGGACCATGTTGAGGTCTGGGCTCGGTCCCACCTGGGCAAGACATTTACAGCCAGCAGTGTCAAAGGTGCTTTGAAAAGATCAACCCTTTACTTCCTTGCTCTCCAGTCGTGGAATCAGACAGCTATACTGCTCTTAATAAAACGTTCTTTAGTTTCCAATGACAGATGTGGGAGGGGTGGGGAAAGAATGACCAGAGGCCCCGGTTAGACTCTAGGTGCCACTGAATCTGCAGCTACCGGTTTCCATGTGCCAGCCTCTCCTATTAGCATCATAATGGCCCTGAGAGAAAAAGAAGCCCAGCTCATTTGGAAAAACCAAACTGCATAGCAATGCCTGGTAACTTCACTGTGAGCATTTGCTGGAAAAGCTTGACATTTTAGCCCTCGGCCTTCTGGGAGTGCTTGAGGTGTCATTCCCCGACATCCACCTGGCTCACTAAACAGACATGCAGGAGCCTGAGGAGAAAAGGTTAGCGCCTTCTTATTTTTTTAAACACACTTGAACACCCTCCTCCTCCTCCTTTTTTTTTTTTCCCCTGGAACACCCTTTTTTTGAATCCTCTCACCTGTCATGTTAAGCAGATTTTGCCATTAGTATACATCTTAGTGGCTATATCCAATATTAACAGCATATACATTTGTGGATTTAAACTTCTGAATGCAGTAGCAGAACTGCAACGTAAATCTCTTCATAAAGAGGATAATGACAGTTTAGATCTGTACATACACACATGAAGAATCATTGGAAACATTGGTGCTTAGCCCTGCACATTCCAATTCTTCGTGAACCTTAAACTTGCCTTCTTAATTTGTTAACATCCCCTGCTGTAAATTCTACATAGACTAGGAAAACTCAATTGCAAAATCTCCTCCCCATCCCCAAATAATCTCAACTCACTTATATTTTATTCACACTTATATAAATAACTGTGAAACAGCCTCTCCAAGTTAGGATGTTGTGTGTAAAAGTTCCTAGTTCAGAAAAAAAAACTTATTGAAATTAGGTGTCATAAAGGAAAAAAAAACTCAGCCCAGATAAAAACAATTCTGCCCTGTTTCAAGTTCATGTATCAACTTCAGTGCTTAATGATAGAATCTTATGTACTGGAAACAATACTAACAAATAGAAACACTGAAATCCTTAACCAAAAAAGCTACAACAATGAGTCCTTAAAATATAAACAAACTGGTACTAACATAAAACAGTGCAGGGCCCACATAATGTCCTATTAAACAAAGGTAATTGCTGCTTGGGGCCTGCAAATGCTTTCTTTTTTTATTAAGGGGCATGGATTTGTCAACCTGCTTTGGTTTAGATGTAATAAAAAGTTCTTAGGCAGAACCCCTGGATCTTATTCCCAGAATCCAGCGCAAAAGGGAGGGTAAATTTCAAGCTGGAAAATAGCACTGCAGTCGCTAAAAGAGAGCCACTGCCTCAGAAAAAGCTATAATTCATGTTTTCCTGGCAGTAGCACTTCCTGATACAATTGTCTTAAAACAGGTTAAGAATTTCAGTTGGGACCATTTCATGAGAGCCTTCCAGGGAATAAGTTATCATGAGGTTTGATACCATGTTTGGATACCGAGTTTGAGGGGGTGTCAGACAGAATGGCGTAGTTTGTTAAATCAATGTAGTCTCAGTTTTTGGGTTGATGACCCAAAGAGCAAAATTAATAAAATGTCCCACCATTACTTTCTAAAGAATTAATTGAACCTCTTTTTTTTCCCTCTTGCAATGAGATTTTCTACTAAGTCACGGCTGCTGCCTCTTTGGAGGGCACTTGAAAAGAGACGGGGTAGGTGGTTTAGAAGCCCAAATCCACTGGGGCCTAATCCCAGCCACTGACCTGGACACGTCCCCCGTCTGTCAGAAGGCTTTGCTTCATTCTTCAGTGAGGCTGGAATGGAATTCAGGATCCCAAAGGGAAGCCTGGGTGGAGGATGCAGCCGTCGCTGCCAAGAGCTGCTCTGTTAGCCAGAAGGACATTGTCACTTTAATGAAGTTATTTTCCCTGCCCCTGGTGTCTTTTACCTGGAAGTGGACTCTTGTTATAACATGTAGGTAGTACCAGTCTCCCAGGAGACAATGGGAAAGTCTCCCTTTCCCTAAAACGTGATGAGCTGTGTAATTTGGAGAAGAAAGCAAGAACTAGACGCTTCGTGCATATTTGAAAGACAATCTGTCTGCAGAAAGCAGGCCTGACATCGCTCTTGGTGACAGTCCTTCAGACTGTAAAGTGAGAGAGTGGACGTTTGGCTCTCCTGAGGGAACTGGCCCCTTATGAGGCGCCGAGGCTGCTCTGCTCTCACCGCTGATCTATGGTCTCTAGGTCTCTCTACTTTAGTGTCAGACCCTTTCTGCCCTTGAACTCAACCTTGACCCTACCGTGAGCCCTCATCAGGATGAAGTGAAGACACTGAGCCCCCAAGGAAATGACCACCTGCCTGGGTGGTGGAGGAGCCCAGGGTGCATCCCAGAGCAGAGAGGCTCCCTGCCTCCCTGGAGCCCTGGGGAAGGATGTGAACTGGAGAGAAGGGCAGCGGTGTGTTGCCTCTTGGAAAGTTCCTGCCTTGTGTCTGGGCTTTGTAGTGTAGAGAGTTGCCGGCTGCCTCTGGCCCCCGAAACCCTGGCTCCTGTTTAATATTCTGCCTGCTCCGTTGATGTTGTGCTTGGCTCCTGTGGGACTGCAACTCACGGCTTGAAACTGGAGCCAATTTTCTGTCTTCATCTCTCAGTGTTTTGACTGGAGGCAGATCCAGTTCAGGCCGATCAGGGCTGGTGGAAACAACTACCAAGTGTGTCTCTGTCTGCTTCGCTTTGGGAGAAGAAAGTGGAGGGAGCCCCAGAATGTTGTAGAGGAACTGGCCCTGCGGAAACGAGAGGAGGAGGGGGCAGCGGAGCAGACGAACCTGAGCGCAGCAGCAGGGATTCCGATGGAGATTTCTGCCTCGCCTACCCCTTTCCTTTGATTGATTAGCAGATTTCATCAAAGGAGACTCTCAGGGGACTGGCTAGAAAATTGATTGTGCCTTATTAATAGAAAGGAAACGCAAGGGTTTTGGCCTTGCCTCCTAGCGGTACGTTTTCTGCAGCAAGGTCAGGAGGAAGATGTGTTTAGGAGGCAGAGCAGCTGTCTTGAAGAGGGCTGAGGGGAATCTGAGAACAATAAGAAATGGGGATTTAAAGATCCGCCCACGAAATGCAGATTGCCGAACGCCGAGGCCGAGCTAAGAGCAGCGAGAGAGTTTGCTGGGGTTTTCTTTGAAAAAATAATAAAATGTTTCAGGGTGAAAGGGAGGACGAAGAAGTAAAAGTTTCCCAAAGCAAAGGGAGGAAGGTGCCAAGGCCATCCGTCGCCTGGCGGCCTCTTGATTCGGGCTGTTTTCTGTTTTTTCAGATCTGAGGCTGTCAGAGATGACTCTGGTTCTGTCCATGAATAGATTCTGCGAGCCCATTGTCTCGGAAGGAGCTGCTGAAATTCCAGGGTACCAGACACTATGGGAGGCTGACAGCTACGGAGGTCCGAGCCCCCCAGGGCCAGCACAGGCTCCTCTGCAGGGAGACCGGGGAGCCGGCCCCCCACTGGCAGGTACTGCTCTTGACCTTCCCCTGCTGCCCTCTGAGGCCAGACTGGTGGGAGGAGGTGGTGTCTGCAGCGCCTCTGGGAGCTGAGCCGGCTCCAGGGACTTTCCAGGCTGCCTGTGCACCTCTCTTAAGAGAGCCCAGGGCCCCAGGGAGAGGACCAGAGCGGGTATTTAAATGGCATTCAAATCTGAGTCTGGACATGCGCTGCTGCTTTGTGTAATAAGTCATGTGCTTGTATTTTTAAGAGAGCCAAACCAGATTTGAAACTCGCAGTGTGGGTTTTGGTTTTTCCACTCTGTAGAACTGCATGCTTCTCAGGGCTAGACGAGCCCCAGTGGGCTTGACAGCGAGATCTCCACCCCAGGAGGCAGGACGGGCTCTGCACTTCGGGCCAGCAGCTCTGTGTCCCCTCTTTTATTAAGCACACAGCTGGCTTTGGTACTGTAGGGAAAAGATGTCAAAGCCCAGACAACAGAAATATGTTCTTTCTGATTCTGTAGCCTAATATTTTAAGGTAAGTTCCTTTGGATTTTTGTGTAGTACTAGCAATTTTAAAAACCCTACGATGCCAAACAAGTACGCATGAAGTCTGTTTTGCTAAAAAGGATTACAAGCTGTGGTCTTTAAAAATTAGACCCTACTTGAATTCATAGATGACATGATACATTTTTTGAGAGCAAAAAGGACTTCAGGTACCCAAAATTTTAGTTTAAAACTTAAAATTTTATATTTTGAAAGAAATAGTATAACTTCAATGTACATATAATCATTTCTTTCCTTAACGAGAGCAAATAATATTTTAAAGTTGTTTAATTATTGGTGCTTACAATTTAATATGTATGTATTTGAACAGTGGTGTTATGATATCCTGGGTTTATTTAAACAGTTTGAATAAATGCTAACATTATTTCGGAGTTGTTACACTCCTCCCCTTTATGGGTTTGACTGTGCAAAGAATCTGAGTATCGAGTAAATGCTGAAATATGTCATTTTCCTCAATAATTGTCTAGAAAGGCTGGCCTGGGTCACAAGAATCTGTATGATAGCAACTATTAAGACAAGTGTTTATTTTTAATCACCACATGTACAGACAGATACATAGCCAAGTTATCTTCTAGAAGGAAAGGAAAGAAAAGTATTTTGTTTGGAGAACCTCTGGCAAACCGCATGTCATTTGTCATATCTGATTTATTACCACAGGATCACATTACAGGGGAATTTCAAATCCTTTAACAACATCCAAGATCGCATACTTTAAGAGGAAGTATGTGGAAGAAGAGGATTTTCACCCACCACTCAGCAGCTGTAGCCATAAAGTATGTTTTTTTAATAGTCATTATTTTTATTAAGAGTTTAAGATACTGAGTAACAGTTGCTTGATCCATTTCCAAAAATTAAATTGTTCCACCCAAGCAGTGAAAACGAGCTACTCCTCATCAGAGCCATATTAAGCGTTGTCACTTTTTTGGGTCCTGTGTTATTTTTTACAAGGAGCTGAAGAAAGAGCCAGCAGGAGCTCCTCTACCCAGAAATAACAAAATCAGATAATCCAATGAATGTCTTCTTCACAAATGATTTAATTTTCCTCAGACTGTGTCAAGTGCTATGATTAGTCCTGGTTTGCCCGCGCGCTGAAGCGCCCTTGCTCCTGCCCGACGAGCCCTGCTCTGAGCTCCAGCTCCCGCGGCCAGTGCCACTTCCACACGCGCCCACGGGCGGTGGTGCCTCTCCACCCCTTAGGGGTGGACTCGCTCTCCCTTAGATGTGTGCATGGCAGCAGAAGCATGCACGTCATTGCATGTTTATTACATGTGTTTAGTTTGTTAAAATGCATCATCCTTTCCCCCCAAAACACCAAAGCTAACTTTTTTGCATGCATTATAAGAAAATAACGATCGGGAAAGTGTGTAGAAGCATGGAACTGGCCATCTACGCTTTTCAAATACCAGCTCTTTTTCCTTATGTTTATCTTCCTTTAAGAAAAAAAAAAAAGAAGCTGATGATTTAATCAACCCAGACCATAGTCGCGGGACATTCGGAGAGGATGTTTTTGTTGTTTGAGTCATCTTTCTGTCTCTTCTTACCCGCCCCCCCATCACCACCCCGTCCTTTAGATGTCTCTCTGGCCTTGCTCTTGAAGACATCAGCATGCATTGGCAGGTGCTGGGGTCGTTCCTGCCTTTGGGCAGCCCCAGCTGGCTCCGTTCACAGCCCCTTGGGTTATGCTACCACCGGGCTTTTTTATGAGCAGGAATGGCTGGCCCCCAGGACTCTTAGCAGTTTATTTCCTCTTCAGTGTGTGTTGTGGTTGTAGCCGTTTTCCAGTTGCCACTGGACTTTTGCCAACCATCCCACAGGGATGGTACCACCCAGCTCAGGAGTGAGCCCTGTCATTCCCTGTCGGCGTCTCTTCTCCTGCCTGGCCCGAGAAGGATGCTCCTTTGGCTCTTCCAGTCCTTTCAGCTTCTGAGCTTTGCTCCTTATCACTGTCCGCCTTTTGACTGGAGATCATCGCAAATGTGAAACCCAGGGATTGAGAAGAGGGATGGCACTGAAAGCCCGTGTCCTGCTCCTTGACGGCTAGGCCAGGTTGCGAAGTGTCCTCACTCTGACTCACGCGTTGGCATCTTTTAAAAACTTATTGACATGCCGTATATGAGTATGTGTGTGTATGTGCATGTATATTTGTATCACACACGTAAAAGCACAAGTATCGTAAGAGTACAGCTTGATGAATTTCGGAGGGAACATGTCTATGTCCCTAGCATCTAGATCCAGAAGCAACGTCACCAGAACCAAGAACCCCTCCATGTGCCTGCTTCTAGTCCCTGCCTCTCTGCCCCCAAAGAGACAGCTCTCTTGACTTCCTGCAGCATAGTTTAGTGTGTTTTCCATCCCCCTCACTGTGCCATAAAAGAGCCAACAACCTGACCTGTCCCTGCGGAGGTCTGCTTTGTGGCTGGATTCCCGGGCACTTGACCACGCCAGTGAGTCAGCCAGGGAGGGGGACTTGAGCAGCGCTGGGAACAGCATCTCCAAGTGAACCTGAGGGTGACGGGACCACAACATTCCCAGATCCAGAAACTGCCGAGAAAGAAATATGTGGCGATGGTATATTTACATAGTCCATTTCCTAAGCTTTCTCTTACTTTTTTGATTTTTAGACCATCTCAAGTTTTGAGGAACGAGCCCACATCCTTTACATGTCCTTAGAAAAGCTGAAGTTTATCGATGATCCTGAAGTGTACCTCCGGAGATCTGTCCTTATAAACAATTTGATGAAAAGGATCCATGGAGAAATTATCATGCAGAATAACTGGTGCTTTCCTGCCTGCTCTTTCAACGGCAGCCCTGCCCAAGAGTGGTTTATGGCTCAGGACTGTCCTTACCGAAAACGACCGCGGATGGCCAAAGAGGAGTGTGAGAAGATCCATGCCTGCTGCTTTTACCAGGATTGTGGTGGTCACTACCTAAATCTACCCCTTTCTGTCAATGCTAATGTCGGAAGTGCCTCCACTGCCGCCGCCGCCGCCTCATCTTCCTCTTCCTCTCCCCCTCTGCCTTTACCGAGTTGTTCCCACCAGGTGGATTTTGATGTAGGCAGCGCACCAGTTTACAAGGGTGATGGCCAGATACCTGCCAACGAAATCTTTGTTACTAATGTCAGGTCACTTGGTGTTCAGGAAAAGGCCAAATTAAATGATGAGAAAGCAAACAATGACGCCAACAGGGATGGTGGCCCCCTAAGCCATGAACCTGTGGGAAATGACCTGGCTTTTGAGTGCAAAGGCCAATTTTATGATTATTTTGAGACTGGCTATAATGAAAAAAACAGTGTAAGTGAGTCTTGGAAAAAGTCCTTAAGGAAAAAGGAGCCTTCACCAAGTAACAAACTGTGCTGCAGCAAAAGGAAGTAAAACACGAGCCGTCTTCTCACCGCAGCTCTGGAGCATGCACAGCATGATCAATTAGCACTCGTACATTTTATTCTGAATGGATTTTCTAGTTTTGTACAACTGATACGATTATGCCATGAACATGCCGTGTCGTTTTAATGCCTGGGGAGCAGATTGCATAAAACATCTGTATAGTAGGCATCAGCGAGCTACTTAGGAATGTGGTAATTTTATCAAGAAAACAGTTGACTTAATGCTTCAAAGTCTATCTTAGTTTTCTTACAGAAAAGACCAGTAGATTAGATGGGGGTGGGACAACAATGTGTCCTTGTGATATTTCCATTACCCCCCAAGGAGCCTGTCACTAGCTAAGAAACTTCAACGTTTGCAATTAATTAGGTAGTTATTTGGTAAACAAATCAATATAACCAGCAAAGGATGTCTGCTTCATCTATATGATACAGTATTTTTTTTTTTTTCTGAACAAAAGACTGAAGACAGGGAACTAGGTGAAATGGCTTCGTGGTGCTGTTAAGTACTTGTATTTAACAGTGTTGTGTGACAGATGAAGATAGGATGTAACGTAAATGAAACACACCTGTCTAGGGGCGGCAACCAACACTATGTGTAGAGGGTACTGCCTGCAAGTTCCCGCTTGCCTGCAATGGGTGATCAAGGCTTTTAGAGAAGTGTTATACAGGGCGATTTTTGGTGCCTTACTTTGTCTTAATTTTTGCCAATGTGAAAATTAAGGATAAATCAGAGTTACAGCAGGGATTTAACAAACAGGAAACAAAAAAACACAGGGTGGATCAATATTGTTTGGAAACCTTTAACTTCGAGCTATTGGTTCGACTTTTGATTCGACATCTCTATTCTTCCTTTATTTGTGATGCCCGATTGTTTTTGAATTTGGCATTTTTAGAAGGGGATGGAGGAAACAATAGAGAGAGCTGTTGGAAACCAGCGCTAGCTGCTTGAGCTTTTCTATGGCAACGGCCTGTTGCTGGGGTTTGGGTCTTTTGGGTTTTGGGTTGTTTGGTTTGGTTTGGTTTTCTTGTCCAATGAAGTTCATGAACCAGTGGCATGCGTTATATTTTAATCTGTTTTGCATCATTTCACTTGTTTAGATTATAAAAGCATGTGGTTTTTTATATATAACTTGCTGTTGATTAAGAAGCACAATGTTAATAAATGATGTGGTGATCAATAAGGTTTTATCTTAAAGAATGTAAAGATTTTAGGTTTTGGAAAGTTATTTTGGAGAAATGGGACTCAGTCGGCCATAGCTACTATGTATTTGGTCAACATTTTTCTCAATAATTTCTTTAATTTATGCATTTGTCAGAGCGTTCAGAGTGCCCCTCTGACCTGCTTTCCTCCTACTCCAGCCAGCTCCTCTTGCTAAGTGTGTTCCAATTTCCAAGGTTACCGATTGACCTGGGCCTCCTTAAACAGTACTGCACAAGAACCAAATGCCAAACGGAGGAAAGAAGTAAGTCCTCCCAGTTTCTCCAAGATAAAGCTTTTTTATTATTGCTATTAATATTAAATATAGGTCTCATTCATACAGTGTATGAGTAGGATCATCATTTGGACAATGTCCACAAGGACCAATTTTTAAAACATGTTCTTGTGTTATGGCTAAATAGTCTAGTAAGGTTTGTCCTTTATTTTCAATATTTGATAAACATTTGATGTTGAAAACTTAGATGATAGACGCTTGTATATGAATGTGTTGTTGTAATAAAGTGAGGTTTTCTTGATATATATTTATTAAAATGATCAAAATTCATTAAGATTGTCTTATTTTAATGATTATCAGCTACATCTCTCTTTTATATTGCTCTTTCTCCTTTAAAAACCTCAAAACATCTAGAAACCATGCTGAGCAGCGGCCACATGGGAGTTTTTCCTTGAAGAGGTCAATGTAACAGGCGTTTAAGAATGGCTGTAGTCTGAGGTTTAGATTTCTGTGGATTAAGAGCACAGTGTGAATAAATGATGTGATTGGGGATCAATAAGGTTTTATCTTAAAGACCCTAAAGATTTTTGTTTTTGCAAAGTTTCTGGGGAAAAATAGCATAAGAAGAATCTGTAAATACTGAATCCTAGCTAATTCCTTTAGGAAATATCTAATTGTCAAGAAGATGACCCATGCCTAACTGGTTAGAACAGCTATAGATGATTGCTGGTAGTATTGCACACAATTCTGTATTAATGTTATTCTCAGAGGCTAATATTTTATTGGAAGAAAGGGAAAAGCTACTTGGAAGCTAATTAATTTGTCAAATGTAGCATTCTTATTATGAGTAATACATTATAGAGATTTAAATATGAAAGAAAGGACTTATTCTTTTGCTTTGTAAAAGCCGAGCATTGCCAGATGTTTTTCTTGATGACAAAACTGTAAATGACGGAGCTGGTGATTTTCCACGGCACTCACCGGAGCTGCGGGCTCATGCATCGGCTCCGGAGAACCCACGCGAGCTTCTCTGCAGTAGAAGCGGTACCTTTGAATCCAGCTGCATAAAAATTGGTAGTTTTTAATCACCAAGTTTTGATTTCTAGGACATTTCCAGCATACTAACAGGAATACTTTTTTGTCACCAAAACAAAACAAAACAAAACAAAATTCCTACACATCCATCCAAATAACAAAAATATCCCTATCATTGGTATGAGAGCATGAGGGCCTCCTACGTGCCTGCATTGTCATACCGGCCCAGGACATACTAAGTGCCATTTTCCCAGAATGGCCAAGGCGCCCACCCCTTAGCAGTAAGTTAAATGTCTTCACTGGGTTCTGTATTTTAGCCTCAGAGAGTAGGAAATCTAAGACACCTCCCTTCACCTCACATGCTGCCTCCCTACTTGGAAGTAGCACCTTTTCTCATTGCTGTGCTCAGCTTTGGAAGAAAACCTGATGTGGCAGAATCCAGACTTTTAAAAGTTAAATGAGGGAAAATCTTCACTTAAGAAAATGGCCCTGCTCCCCAAGAGTGCCTTTAATTGCTACTCCCCTAGGCATCTATGTGCATGTCATTAACCAAATCACTAACCTTTGTCTCTGGTCCTTCCTCTCTAAAAGTGGGTGGTGTAGAAGACAGTCTGTAAAGGCACTAGAAAAGGGCAAAGGTAATCATCATATGCTTCCACTCTAAGATTCTACATTTCACCTCGAAAGGGGTCCTGGGAACAAGATGGCAGGGACGGGGACCTGGGAGAAAGGGAGAAAAGGTCAAGATTGTTGGCAGTGACTTTGTGACAATCATTAGGGTACAGCGTCTTTGGCATGATCTTTTAAAACAATACAAATTTAGGTGATTTTACTTGCTACTTTGTTAAATAAATGCCAGAGCAAGTGAATGAAGGTATTTACTTACAGAGCTTGTAGGTAACTTCATCAAAGCGTGGCCACCCACCCCTCCAATCGTGAACTTGCGTTACAGCTCCACTTGGCAACTTCCTTTCCACGTATCAAGAGGAGAGCAGAGAACGCCTTGCAGTAGACATGGGCGTTGCCGATGAGATGTCACCAAACAGCTGCCACCCTCATGGTAAATGTCAGACAAGAGCGTGAGGATTCTTATGCGATTCAGCTAGGCTTTTATATCCTTCAAATTGTGAGCGGAAAACATTTTTGAAAATAATTACTTGTTCAAATCCATTTTGGGGACAATCCCTTAAATCTGAAGTTCACAGTTAAGGTGGTTGCACCCCTGCCAATTTGAAAAACAAGGACTCTGCATAGAATTAACAATAATGGTTTAAACTAGAAGCAGAATTGTCCCAGGAAGAAAAGAATGAAATCACTATTTAGATAATACAAGAAACAATGTATGGTTTCTAGTAATTTATTTTAAGATAGCTGTGTTTTGATTCTGTGGTTTAAAATAAATGCATGAGGGGTCTTTTAAGTTACTACACGATGCTCCCATCACTTTCTTAGAGTAATAGTGGATAAGGAAGCTATATTCTCTTCACATGGCTAAAACTTCTGCATTTTGTGTGATAGAACTACATGGCCTGGGGTCAAGCAGTTACTAGTTTAAAGATTGTTTCCAGCCATGTGTACATGCCATATTTTAGCTGGGAGAACTCACTTAGGAAAGCACTTGCAAAAATGTAAGTTATGAACACTTGAATCTCGCATCCTGCCATAAAGTGCATCAGCAAGTGAGTTTAATAAAACATGCTGTTTAAAATAGTCTGTAATTTCCTGTTTCTGCATTTCCCTTCAGTATCTGTGACAGGCTGAAGAACGATGACTAAATGGAGGGAATTTACACAAGCTAGTCTGCTGCTGTTTGCAAACCACCGCCATGAGCTTCATATTCTTTGGTAAACAGTTCCCTGGTGGGCTCTCTCTGGTTCTTTTTTTTTCCCCTCGGTGTAGGTCCAATTTGTTAATTTTGAAAATGCAAACTACTTCTTCATAGACTGGAAACACCTGCTTTTGACCACAGTGAAATTGATAGAATGTATGGAGATGAATGAGTCATTTCTCATGAAATTTCCCATGTTTTTCAACCCCATTTTTATAGCTGTTCCCTTGATTTAAAATTACAAAATCTTATAAAATGATCTATCTTTGGGGGGAGAGGGAGAACACACACAAAGAAGAACTCACAGAGACATAAGCTGTGGTCTTGCGTCCTTCTGTGATCCAAGACAGTGGGCAAATAGCCGAACTTTGGGGAAGAGGGCCATAGCCTTCAGCGGGCACTGCCTCCATCCGGGTAATTCCACGGCAGAGGCTGTCCAGGCTCAGGCCTGTGATCCTTTGCTGCCCCCTCTGAGTGGTCAGCTCACACATGAACCCAGCCTGGAAACTTCTAGACATGGTGCTCTTCCTGCAGATGTCTTCTGAGCAACTACAATGAGCTAAGCTCAGATGTGACATAACTCTTGTGTCCTGGCAATCAAGAAGTGCGCGGATATCTCTGGAATGCACCCGGCACAGCACTCAGGCATCTACGCCACCCTCAAAACTTGCGAAACCCCTGCATGCATGGTAAGGAAAAGATGGAGAATGACAGGCTACAAGGCAAGGGATCTCAGCAAAAAATTGGGAGTTGATCTCTGACGGAGTAGAGTGGAAAAAGTCTGAGAAACAGAGTTCTCCATGCATTGCAGAGTGAATTCACTTTCTTTAAGGAAAAGTCTAAAAAGGAAAGAAGATTCCTTTTTTTTTTTTTTTTTTTTTTTTTTTTGTCAGACCTCTTCATGAACACAGGAAAAATCATTTCAGGGAATAAAGGTTTTCCTTTATTTATGCTTTTACAGGAAGAGAGAAATGTCTACCCTTTCTGGGAGCTGCGAGGGTTTCTCACTGTTGTTCTCCAAGGCCTTAGATACTGTGCTTTTCAAGGAACCCACCGAAATACCTTTGTGACTACCTATAGGCCTTAGCCCAAGGCACTTCTCTCTTGTTCAGCTCAGGCTCAGCAAGTGCAGGGTTTCTCGTGAACACAGCAGAGGCTTAGAGTGTCGCGTTTGATATCACACCAGCTGGACACAAATTCCTGCCCTGTCGCTGTAGCTGTACAACCTTGGCCTTGGCCAGTGAGCCCTTGGTCTCCTAGGGCTTTGGTTTCCTTGGCTGTAAAATGGGGTGCCCACTTCTTGAGGTGTCTGGGTGCCTGTCATGGGTGTGCAGGACAGTGAGTTATTAGGACTTCTCCAGTGCTGTCCCTGGATGCCTTGAAGGGCAGGCTTAACAGTACCAGATCCTTCTTTTTGTGAAAAGCATTCAGCCTTCTGGGTTCTGTGGAGAAAGCTTGAAATTAAATAGGAGGATGGGGTCAAACCTGGGGACCCAGGACCCTAAGACAGCTATGAAAGTAGTCAGTGATGTTCCTGAGATATTTCTAATATTTCAGAAAGCTTACTGGAAATGATAAAATTTCCTGAGAGCAGTTGCCCAGGCGAACCCATGTCAGATTTCCTTACCTTTGGCTGCACTGTAGTCAGCCCTGGGTTAACACGGTTAGCGCAAGCCGAGAAGGAGCTGTGACTGGGAAAAAGAAGGCGCTACCCTTAACAAATACAATTCACTCTGTAGATGGAATCTTTCAGAGCATTGGCTACGTGAAGGGAATAAGAGGTATCCCTTACAAGTGCAAAGTTGAAGACCATTTACCTCTGACTTATCCCCAGGATTTGCCAAAGTTCAAGTTTATTCAATTACTATATTGTATAATTCTCTTAGACCTTGTTTTTACTCAGAAAAAAAAAATACAGAATTGAGTAAATAAGTGTAGAGCAAACATTATTCCTGATGTTCCTATAGCTGGTAAAGGAGGCCAAGGCAGAAATGTCTATATAATTATAACTTTGAGGCCACGGACTATCATAAAAGAGCTAGCATAAGTTTCCACTTACAAGATCCAAGTTGAAAAAGCAGATCAACTAGGGTGTGCTTGACCCTACTTCAAAACCTCCTCCCTTCCTATGCTGCGTTTAAGCCCAGAGCCCAGCCTTGGCTGGTGTGGCTCAGGCCTGCCGATGGATCGGGGGCGCGAGGGAGGCAACCAGTTGATGCATCTCTCACACATGGATGTTTCTCTCCCTCTCTTTCTCCCTCCCTTCCCCTCTCTCTAAAAGTAAATAAAATAAAATCTTTTAGAAAATAAATAAATTCAGAGCCCAACTGATGGCTTCAAAATAGGATTCCATTAAAAAAAATTCCATTTCCCTCTCTCAAT